GTCCCATTCCCCCTTTCAACCGATTGGGTGCTGGACACAGTGGCTCCTCATCACCAATATCTAAGAGCTCAGCAGTATCTCATCAGAGGGGACCTAATTCCCCAAGGGACCTAAACATCCTTCTTAGCAAAGGACCAGGTCCAGAGCAAACCAGCCAATCAATCTGCCCTGGAAGGCATACCAATGACCTTGAAGTCCAGGGTCCTCTCCCTAACTTTAGTAAAATGCATTGTGGGAGTTTCAGAGTCACAGATGTTCAGGATGTGGATTTTTGTCTTCAACATCAATCAGGACTTTTTTGCTCAGCATTGTTGTGACTATGTCAAGAAACCTTTGCTCTGTATATAGCAAAGGGAAGCCAAAGAGGCTATTTCTTTGGAGCTGCTGATCTACTTCTTGGCAGCTTGGCCAAGAGTCTGTGAAATTTAGATTCATTCCTTTATTGATTCATTTCCTCACCAAATAATTTGCTAAAGATATACTTATGTACAAAGTCAGGGCTGGGCACTCTGAATAAATCACAGACACGCCTTCAAGACAGCAAAATGTGCGATAAGTACATTAATGGAGGTCGGGGAACAATCAATGGAGGGTCAGGAAACCAAAAGAAGAAAGCCTCCCAGTTTTATCGGGGATGGAGGTGGGGGCTGGGGCAGTGGGGAGACTTCACAGGGTGAAGATATATGAGTCATCTTAAGGCATGAGTGCAAAAGGGGTGATGGGTGGGAGGGGCATTCCAGGCAGAGGGGAAAGCATAGGGGAAAATGGGACGTGAAATAATAGAGCATACTGGGGAAGCTCTAAATAGTGCGCTCTGAGGGTGTTTGCATTTGAACACTGGTAACAGTTCTCAGGAGTCTCTCAGTTAAGAGGGCTCCAAATACCCCTGCAAGGCTCTGGGTAAACAGCAGGGCGGTGGGCAGCATTAGCTTTCCAGACCTTGGCTGGCCAGAACACCACCTGGCCTGGTACCGCACCCCCTTGCCCCGCCAACCCCACCCCCACCCAATGATTTCTCCTATGTCCCATCCCTGAGTCAGGGTTGGAAGCCTTGAACTGCCCTGACAGCCAGGTGGATGAGAAAGGGGTAATGTTGAGCATGGAAAAATAAACTCTACACAAAGTTACTAAAAGATGTTCTAAAACAAGGAAGGAAGTTGTGGGGAGTGGGGGAAGGGAGGTCTATTTATCTTGCACCTGGAGAGCCTGAACAACTTTTAGTTTGTCACCTTAATCAAACAAGACACTGACATGGAAAGGTTCTCAGTTCTTTAAAAAATGAAATGAGGGCACCTGAGTGGCTCAGTTGGTTAAGCGACTGCCTTCGGCTCAGGTCATGATCCTGGAGTCCCGGGATCAAGTCCCACATCGGGCTCCCTGCTCAGCAGGGAGTCTGCTTCTCCCTCTGACCCTCTTCCCTCTTGTGCTCTCTATCTCTCATTCTCTCTCTCTCTCTCAAATAAATAAATAAAATCTTTAAAAAAAATAAAAAAATAAAAAACGAAATGAGAGAAAGGAGAAAAGAAACCCACCTCTCCTAACCACACTACGGGCCAGACACCATGCTCAGCATTGCCAGATACGCTAGCCTGGCTCACCTTCACAGCAGCCCAACAAAATAGGTGGTGGTTGGCCCCATCTCACAGAGGGGGAAACAGGCTCAGAAAGAGAGCTAGCGACTTGTCTGTGGTCACGTATAAATGACATGGATAATTTAAGTCTTGATTGAACAACATCAAGGGACAGTTTGGGAGGCAGAATTTTCTTTACATTTCTGTCATTGGCAGTATTTCAATTTAAAAAATTACGTATTATGGTGCCTGTTTTGAAACCAGGAACTATAGCCTATATTTCTTTTATTTTCTCCCATAATGTCTGGCTCAGTGTTCAGGACGCAGTAGGTGCTCAGTAAACTCCTATTAATAAATTGTTAATTCAAGCTTGCTTACCAGCATCCATTTACCATTCTCCAACTTGGTTCTCATTTATAACACTTATGATGTCATAACTAACATAAACTATTTTCCAAGACTTTCTTTTTCTCTAGAGCGGTGGTTCTTGACCAGGGGTGATTTTTGCCCCCCAGGGGACATCTGGCAATGTCTGGAGACATTTGGGGTTGTCCCCAATGGGGCTGAGTGTTGTTACTGGCATCCAGTAAGGAGAAGCCAGGGATACTGTTCAGCATCCCACAAGGCACAAGACAATCCCCATCACAGACTTATCTGGCCCCAAATGTTAATACTATTGCTGTTGAGAAATGTGGTCTAGAGGTTAACCACATTTGGAAAAGTTGCTGACAGAATTGCTGAGGCCATTTCTCCTGTGGAAGAAACAAGATGGCTTCCCTGTTTAAATACATTTAACACAGACCACCTGTTAGGGCAGAGCGTCCACAGGCCAAATCTGGCTTACAACTGTGTTCTGTTTGGCCAGCTTTGTTCAAGTTTTCAAAAAAATGTGTTGCCAGCATTTAAAAATAAAAAGATCTGGATTTCTGCCTTGTCTTGAATAGTCAGAAGATCTGACAACACTGGTTTCTTGTGACCACCTGAGAGAGGTGATATCTAAAATATCTAACAACTGACATGGTAGGGCCGTAGCCACTCAGAATGTGTACCTGGTCATCCAGAATGAATGTCCACCATAAAGGACAGTGACAGTCCCCAGGGAGGGAGGCCAGCCCAGCCACTGGCACCTACCAGCTGGAGCTGAGGAGTGGCTGCCCCTCTGGGGAGGACGGGCACTTCCTACCCCTCCCTTGTGTTTCCTCACTTCTGAGGCTTGCCTCTGTCATCTCATTCCTCTAGGGTTTTTCCTACACAGACTTAATGGGAAGATGAAGTCTTCAGCAAAAGTGGGACAATAAAAAAGAAAGACGGCGTGTTTCAAGGGGAAAAAAAATTTTACTAGCCTACTTCTCTCCTTGAGTTCTATACCTAGCCCCTGTGATCTTCAAATTTGTGGTCACTATTTTAGCTTAAACAAGTTCTCTTTTAAAATGTGGAAATTCTCCTGAAGGACTAAGGCTGGTGGGAACTTTTGCTTTCTATAAGCTTTTTTGCTTCCCTCTTGTTGTAGAGCTAAGGTCAGCTGCTTGAGGAATTGGTGCTGGGGAATGAAATAAATAAAGTGAATTTGGTTGGCAGGACTCAGGCAAAGCAGCTAATGCAAACTTGGGGCCACGGATAGTGGTCTCCTTGCTTCTTCCAGAAGAGGGGTGGAGGGGAGAGAGGCCCTGCTGGTCCTTCTAGCTCTATCTCAGTACTCATTTCCTACCCATACCTCTGGAGGCACAGAGATTTCCAGAAAGGTAGGGGTTCGACTGTTGGGTGGAGTTTAATCAAACAGAATCCAGTCTGAAGGCATTGGAAAGGCAGGCAGAGAGGGCATCCGGAGACAGAGGAAAGGAGCAAAAAGAGACATTGAAAGGTGCCAAAGAAACTCCTGCAGGCCTGCCTAAGGCAGCGGCACTGTGTGCTACAGAAAAACGCTGGGGTTTTCTGATGCCTTCCTTCAGACAGTTACTCACACAGGCAGGAGTCTGGGTGGAATCAAGCCCTGAACTAAAGCAGAGATGCTTATGCCTGTACCCTCTGCCCTTTTGCTGAAGTGACTTTAAAAGAATTCCTGACCCCTCTGTAGGTTTAACCTCAGTTGTCCAGAAGTAGAGCACATATTCTTCCTAGAATGTCCTTCTGGTGTGAAAGAATATGTTTTTCCCATTTGATACTGAAAGGAAACCCCTGACTTCTCCAGTGCATCGCTACCTTAAGGAGAACCATATGCACAAGGAGGATAAAGCCTTTGACACCAAGTTAAGAATGTCAACACCCTTTATTGAACATTGTTATATACCAAGCACTGTGCAAGACAGTTTACATATACCATTTCTGATTCTCCCAAGGGTCCCACTAAGGAGGTGTCATTATTTCCATTTTATAGACGAGAAAACATGCCCCAACTAGTCCAAGATCATGTGGCTAATCAGTGTCATGGCTGAGAGCCAATCTTGACTTGTTTCATGCCTATGTTTATGCTCATTCCTCTCCAAGCTCTGCCACCCAAGACCCCTCTAACTTCAGGGGTCACATTCAACAGGTAAGAAGGAGGCCCACACTAAGTCCCAGCTGCAAGTGTACTCTCGGCAACACCCCCCCCCCCTCCGCCCCACCCCGGCCAGCTCTTACTTGGCCTATTTGAACAGCACTTTGGGAGAAGCAGGGATAAGTCTCTCCTTTGAGAGTGGGATGACCAACGTTTTATCGCCAAGACATTTACCCACTTGAGCCACTGTAATCATAGCTACTGGCTCTTGAACATCTACTTTCCAAGTACTGGACAATGCTCTTTACAGAGGTGATCTTTAATCCCCTTCCCCCATTTCTTAAGTGTTCAAATAAAGCTCAGACAGGTTAGGTTGCCTGCCTGATGTCACAAGGAGAACAGTGACAAAGTCAGATTTCAGCCAAGACTCTCTGACCTCATGTCCATCGTCTTTCTGCCCCACTCTGTTGTCCATCCCTTTTGTAATATGGTCTGGAAAACCCAGTGCCCGGTTAGTCCCTGAATCTTACCTGCCACAGTTGGAAAGAACCCATGGTGACATTTGATTTTGGTCTGAGAATAATCCTATTTCTGTGTGCCCACTGGGAATTTCAACGGGTCTGTTGATCCATACAACTTCCTCCTTTGGGTGGTTTGCAAAGGGCACCTGTGGCTGGGTTCCCCAAGGCCAAGTCTCCCCTCAGAGGCATTGAAGGCCTTCTTGGGTTGCACGGAGGAGGCTTAAGGGGTTAGGAGGCAAACATAAGATGTCGACACTTCCCTCTTTTCCATCTCCATGCCCCTCATTCTTATCGGGGAATATCTCAAAAGGCTCTGAGATCTACTTCCTTTGGAACTTAAAGTGAAGTGTGGGATTGCACCACTGGGCCCCAGTGTGAGGGAAAGGGAAAGCGATGCTAGAGCCAGTTAGTATGAAGGAGCTCAGCCCTCACCTTCGTAAATGTGAAATTCACAAAACCGCCCTGGAAATTCAAGAGAAGGTTGGATTTTCGGTAGCCACAGTTCCCAGAAGCTTGGGTTGCGTTAGGGTCGATGTTGAAGTATCTCTGAGGTGAAAACACCTAAACCAAATAAAATAGATCAGATCAATGAGATATCAAAGAAAACTCTAGCTAGGGAACCAGAAGCACAGGCTAGTAAGTGAGCCCGAAACTCAAGTCTAGTGCATGTTCGCTCAAAAACTTCAAAGTCCCCAGAAAACACCTCTCATTCCCAAACTGCTATGTTCAAAGATTGTTTATTTTTTAAGTTTTTTATTAACATATAATGTATTCTTTGTTTCAGAGGTACAGGTCTGTGATTCATCAGTCTTACACAATTCACAGCGCTCACCATAGCACATACCCTCCCCAATGTCCATCACCCAGTCACCCCATTCCTCCCACCCCCCTCCACTCCAGCAACCCTCAGTTTGTTTCCTGAGATTAAGAGTCTCTTATGGTTTGTCTCCCTCAAAGATTTTTTAAAGGAGTTCTCCCATAGTAAGAGTCCTCAATAGATCATTTATAGCCAATCTTTTCCTGACATACTGCATAGAATTTAATTTTTGTTAAATTAAACATGTTACAAGGTACTACAGGAAAGATCTTGCTGTGTAATGTACTTCTGCTTCAAATGAAAACCTGAATGTGGAAGTTTCATAAAACCTATGCAGAAAAAGAAAGTATTATTTTTATGGTGATTCCTTTAGTAAATCGATAATCTTAACCCCACCGCCACCTTCTAATCTTCTAATCTTCTTGTTAACCTGGATTTTTGATACTAATGTCACAGCTGGCTGGAACCATGGAGACCATGTAAGCCAAACCCCTCACTTCACAGGAGACTTGCTGAGGCTTGAAGTCATCAGAGTTGCTGAGGCTTGAGGTCAACACGGAGGACACCCCAACACTCTGTCCGTGTTGGCTAAAAGTGAGAGGTGTGTATAGTTACAGTTTTGGTGTGTGCCTTCCTCTAGCCAGACTCTATCAGTTTTTATTTTTGTATGTTTTCTAAAACAGATTCATCTTTTAATGGAGCACCTTGGAGAAAGACGAGCTTGCAGCCCTTTATTTCCTTAAAAGACACAAGATGCAGGGGAATGCCTATTCTCAGCAAGACACACTGTACTCACACTTTTTGAAGACAGTGTTACAGTCCTATGGCCCCAACTTACCCACTCTGTGTCTTGAACCATTAGCTCTATCCCCAACTCTGCTTTGATACAGAGCCTGCTTCCATTTAGAACTTGATAAATTCCAGTCTTGGCTGACGAAGCCCGAGGTGCAAGAGTGGGTCCGGAAGCCGTGGTACCAGGTGAGGTCGTTTGGGTGGTGTTGTGTGCAGCTGTGCTTGGGCCTGGGGCATGACTGGGTTGAGCAGACTTGTGACTGGTTGTGCTGTTATGTGGTGGGGTGGACAAAGTTGCTGGAAGGGCAGTCTGGTGACTGGTTTGGGTGGTTTTCCTAGTTGTGTGGCTGACAGTTGGTGGGCTGGTTCCTGTCATATGCGCCGCTGGAGGGATGGTGGTTGGCAGTGAACCTGGGGCTGCGCTGGGGCCAACTGTAACCTCAGTGACTGGAGCAGCTGTGTGTGAGTTATTGGGTGTGGCCAAGGTTGTGACTAGGGTGTGGGTTGTTGGGCTGGTAGTTGGGGTGCTGTTTGTAGTTATCAAGGAAGTTGTTACCAGAGTTTTTACTGTTGTATGTGTGGTTGGGGGCTCAGAGCTGGAGGTTGGGGCAGCTCTTTGAGAGGGGACGTGACCATCCATTGATCTGGCTGCTAAAGTTTGGCCAGGGACTTGGTGAGTTAGTTGCAGGAAAGGCTTTGCTGTGGCCTCTGCTGTTGCTGCTATTGTAGATTGATAGTCGGAGGTTTCTGGAAACATTTTTGCTCTTATTTGACTGCCATAATGCAAAATCCCTGTAAATTAGGAAATAAAAGTGTTACCACACTAAGAATTCACATTGGTGCCTCCCTCCCCGACCCCCATTTTGATATTTCTGCACAACAAATTAACATGCATTTATTTATTTACTTTTCTCTTTGACGTAGTGACTTTATTGCCTTCACATATACATACACACTCAGAAATGTGATTGCTGGATTACATGGTAGTTCTACTTTTAATTCTTTTGAAGATAAACATGATTTTATTATTTCCAAACATGCTCATTTACTTTTCATGAGGAATATGCATATATTTAGATTTGGGTGAAATTTATAAGGACATAACAATGAAGTGAAGATCACCAAAGATTCTACCACAAGGCCACAACTTAAAAGTTTGGGTTGCACCCATGTTTTTTACAGGGTTGTGATCATACTGCAGATATTCTTCTGTGTCCAGCCCCTTTGTCTGTACAGGGTGTGGTACTAACACCGCAAAGTGGTCATGCTTAATCTAAGTGTGGATGCCCCCGCATTCCCCATCTTCTAGTGTGAATCCAGACAGCTCCGAATGGAGAGTGGTCCTGGGTGGGGTACTGCTGTGATGCCCTGATAGAGCTGGACAGCATGAATGGTGGTAATAAAGACTTACACAGAGCTGTGTAGTTTGCATACAATCATACAATCCCAGGTTTGAAAGGGGTCTTAATGATCATCTAGTCCAAACCCTAATTTGGTGTCTGAATTGTACCTACGAATATTTGCCACGTGTTCATCCAATCGATGCATAAATACCTCCAATGATGGGAGATTCGTTTCCTTTCCATTTTTTATTTTGCTGTCAGTTTTTGTAAAGACAGACCAGTTCTTGTCATTTCTTACTTCACCTTTTTTTTTTAAGATTTTATTTATTTATTTGAGAGAGAGAGAGAATGAGAGATAGAGAGCACGAGAGGGAAGTGGGTCAGAGGGAGAAGCAGGCTCCCTGATGAGCAGGGAGCCCGATGTGGGACTCGATCCCAGGACTCCAGGATCATGACCTGAGCTGAAGGCAGTCGCCTAACCAACTGAGCCACCCAGGCACCCCCTTACTTCACCTTTTGAATGGCCCAGGCTTTCTCAAGTAGGAAAGAAAATTAAGCCATAATTGCTCTAATGCATCTGGTGGGCTGTCCTTCATAGTTTGGCTCAAATGCCAGATCTTCAGAGAGTCTTCCCTGACATCCTTATATAAAATAGCTCCCCACCCCACAATTCCCCATCACGTGTTATATTCATTGCCTGCACTGCATTAATCACAACTTGTAATGATATGAGGGGATGGTATTAACATATTTAATAGTAAGCCTGGCCACACAGTGTGTACCAGCAGAATAATAGCCCTGATTATATGTTTATTTATTGGTTTATTTATTTAGACTGTGCATCTCTCCCACTAGATTAAAAGCAACCTCAAGGTGGAGATTGTATTTTTTATTGTATTTTTTTTCACCACCAGTACTTATGCACAGAAAGTGTTCAGTGCATATGAATTGGATGAATAGATAAGTGGATGCGTAAATGAGGATAATAACATTGTAGACCTTCTAGGATTATTGTAAGACTCAAACAAGTTGGTTTAAGTGAAGTCTTCCTGGACCATCAAGCATACCTATAGTGTGTGTTACTGTCACAGGTTCTCTCCTGGGACACTCCTTAAAGGTGGAAGGGTTCTGCCTCTTTTTCAACCAGAATAGTTCTATCCTTGCCTTGTCCCAAGCACATAGCAAATCCGAAAACTGAGCAAAATGCAGATGATATTCCTTGAGAGTTTAGAATCAGGCACACTGAGAGATGGCTCTGTCTCTTCAATGCTTTGGTTTCATTGTATTTGCCCATTGTATTTACACTCACTGGAGTTGGAGCTCCCCAGTGCTGGCCAGTGACTTGGAAAAACATGGGTAAAAGGGAAAGGAGATCATTCTATGCTGGTGTTTAGAATCCTGAAATTCACATCTAATCAAAATCATCCATAAACTCCTTTACTATCTCCCTCTTTCATTCATTATATTTCTAAGTGGTTACTTTTACTATAATAATAGCAATAAAATGTCCAAGTTATTGGACACTTACTACATGGCAGGCCTCAGGTCAAGGGTCATCTTTCACCAACTCCTCTCAAAAACCCTCTGATGGGTTCTATCTTTATTAACCTTTCAGATGAGGAAACTCAGGCTTAGAAAAATCCCATCAACTTGACCATAATCCCACAACTAGTATATTCTGGAAGTGAGACACCTAGTAAATTTTGGAGGTGAGACTTGAGCCCCTGTCTGAACCAAAGCCTGCCCTTGGATTTGGTGTGGGTAGAGGTGGTGTGCATCACTGGGAAGAATGGTGAGAGAAGAGACAAAAACAGAGAAGAGAAGAAGAGCAGGGTGCCTCTCCAGGGATGCCAAATCACCAGACCCTCATAATGATGGTCTTTGGTGAGGGTTTCAAAAGCTTATACGATAAAATAGTGATTATTTTCCAGAAGAAAAGTTCTAACTTCAAGCCCAGTAGTAATGCTTATAAATTATTTCTGCACAGTTGGCTTGAAGAATGAGAAAGATAAAAGCACCAGTTCAAATTGCCTTGAATAACCTTTAAAAAGGCTTATTAGGGGCGCCTGGGTGGCTCAGTTGTTAAGTGTCTGCCTTCGGCTCAGGTCATGATCCCAGGATCCTGGGATCGAGCCCCGCATCGGGCTCCCCGCTCCGCAGGAAGCCTGCTTCTCCCTCTCCCACTCCCCCTGCTTGTGTTCCCTCTCTCGCTGTCTCTCTCTCTCTCTGTCAAATAAATAAATAAAATCTTATAAAAAAAAAGAAAGAAAGGCTTATTAATGACATTAAGTTACGTGAAACTATTACTAAATGGGGTTTTTTGTATCTAAAATGTTCATTTGGATAATTTGAAATGTATGATACTTGGGAGTTGTGGATTTTTATGGACTGTAGGTTTTCCTTGTAAGCCTTCATAAAATCACTGTATGTGGACACTTTATGCCTGCATTGTAGGACTTGGAGCAAGATTTTTCCTTTCAAGATTGTTACGAAGGTTGACAGTTGTGAAAGATGTATTTTCACAATTCATTTGGGCTAAATCTGAGTTGCTGTTTCCTCAGTCATGACCCTAATAGAAACCCCATTAAGTTTACACTGTTACTATGGAGAAAGAGAATTCACTCCCAGAGGGACTCTTGAGGAATATCTTGTAGTGGTAAGCAAAGATTGCTGCAGAGAACTCTGGGAGACTGGAAACCACTTGCCTTTTGTTCTCTTGGGGGGTGGGGATCATTAGATCCTTCAAAAAATCTCACAATGCACGGTATATGCTTATGAACTAAAGCAAACCTTTCTCAGCTGAGTAGAATATCCTCAACTGGGTAGCACACAGCCTCCAAAACAGGACAAGATGACTCATGGTACCCATCAAGATGTATTTGGTGCGCAGGAAGTATTTATGGGGTGGCTGAAGGTGATGGCAATCATGGTGTCTTGATATAGTGTGTGGCTTTGTGGTAGGCAGAAGGCTGGGCCAGCAGGTGGCTGGACCAAGTGTCAGAGTGTGTTACAGATTGAACCAGAGTGTGTTCCCAGATAGAACTGGGAAATATTGTTCTAATAGTCCTCTCCTTCCCCTCTGCAGCTTCTCTCCTCCCCTTCCCATCTCCCTGTAGAAGTGTGGGGTATAAAAGATGGGCAGGTAATTAGATGGAAAACTGATAGGAGTAGGTATGCTGTGCATTATAATACATTCTAGAAAGTTCATATGTTAGGTAGTTAATAGAAATAAGGCTCTGAAAAATACTCTATTTTATAAAGTCTATGTATATGACCACACAGTATATGACCAATCTTTGTCAAAATTGGGTCACAGTTCTTAAACAGGACCTTTGACTCTGTAAAGGTTTAGTTAAGTTCACCAGTCTGTCTGACACCCACAAAGAGGGCAGGGGGCAGGACATAGCTCAGAATCTGTCTCAACCCTTCCTCTACTCAAAAGGACACAGCCCTGGAGTTCACATGGTGATTTGTCAAACCCACAACCCAAATCCCCTAGCATCTTCTCTCCAGGATTCAGGAGCCTCAGCAAACAAGTACCCCAGAACCTAGACCCATTGCTTGGACTCCTCTAGATGATGCACTGCAGGAAGAGGTGTGAGAGGGTTTGGATTCCCCTACAACCTATAGAAGGAGCTGAGAGATGACTCATCAACCCAGCCCTGGGAAACTCAGTGACCATGCAAGGGTTTTCTTCTCTAGGTACTTCCCGGATGGCTGGTCCTTCCCAGATAGCCTTTGTTTAGTTACCCTGCCACACCCAATTCAACAGATATGTAGGAGCTTCTTCTGAGCCTGGCTCCTTGCCAGGCATTGGGTCTTTGTTTTCAGGGGCTCAAAGCCTTGTGAGGCAGACACATAAGTGGACCCCATTCCTCGGTGTGACAAGCATTATTATAGAAGGAAGCCCTGAGTGCTATGAGGTGGGGTGGGGAATCCAACACCAAGACAAATTCTTTAGGCGGACAAGAAATTAAGTGGTATCCCAGACAGGGGAAAAGTATGTGCAAAGACACAGGGTCTTCAGAGTCTGGTAGGTCTGCAGAATAGCAAAGGGGTAAAGCACGATGGGAACATGAGGAGGGAGGTGAGGTAAGGGGCCAGCTGGGAACTGGCCTGGCAGGTCTTGGAGGCTACTCTTTGTCTGCAGTTGAGAACACATTGGGGAAGTAAACCTAGCCCCATGGCCACACCCAGGGACAGAGAACTGAATTTTAGCCCCCAAATACTTTCTCTGGCACCTCCCCAGGGAGCAGAAGCAGCCCCAGCTGGGTGCAGCAGGAAGACGGTTTCTGGATGTGTGAGGCAGCAGGGGTGGGCCCTTAGTTAAGATTCTGTTTACAGTTTCACAATTTAACCTTCAATCTTTTAGTAAAAAGATATAAATCTTACCTGTTACTTTCTGTGGGACTTTAGATTCAAAGAGAACCCTCATACAGAAGTGGCTCCAGTCCCGTGGCACAGACTGCTGCTTAACTACTCCCAAATCCAGCCTCCCCTTTTTCCTTAGTAACAGAACCACAAATTTAAGCTGTGCACTTGCTGCCCAGAATAAAGAACCCTACCTCCAAGACTCCTTTCCATCTGGGTGGGAATGTGTGACTGCATTTGAGCCAAACCCCATAACATAGGGTTATGTGGGCCTTCTAGGAATGCTGCTTGAAGGGGACTCCATCACCTACGTGACCACTCTATTGCTTTTATGTTTTCCTTTTCAAACCAGCCTGCAAATTGCATGTGATGGCTGGAGCTCCAGCAGACATTTAGAACCATGAAAAGAACTTGCAGGTGGGAGTCACACATAGGAGGGAGAGTCCACGATAATGAGCTCCCACACCGGACCTGGGATGGATTCTTCTGGACTTGTTTTCACATGAAAGAGAAACACACATTTATCTTGTTTATTTTGCTCCTATTTGTCTATTAGGAGCAGTTGAAGCTAAACATAACTGATACAAATTTAAATCCCCTCATTTTGTGGGGGAGGAATTTGAGACCAGGGCAGCAAAGTGAGTGGATAAAGATTACAGAGTTAGTTCACCTAGAAGCTATGTCTCTCCTACCAAAATGTCCAATGGTTTTTGCTCATCTCCAATTCAACAAGTATGTCTTGAACCTATGCGTGCAAGGCCCTGAAACCAGGCTTCCTGGATGCAAATCTCAGGGCTGCCCCCTGCTAGTTGAGGGACCACGAGCAATTCCTTAATCTGGAAAATGGGGACCCTTCACACACTTTGTTCACTCGGTTCACCCTGGAGAATCTGCAGCTCAGAGAGAGGAGGGCAGCAGGGTATTTCCTGTCTACCTCCCTGGGAATTACTGAGCACTCATTGCATTTCTGAATCTGCTAGTCATCTGCTCACAGGTCACTGAGGGTGACCGCTAGACTGAGATCTTTTGCCTTTTTATTAGCTTAGATTTCACCTTTTGCCTCCAGAAGAATGTGAAATTCTATTTCTGAAAATGTGGCAGAAGTAAAACCGCCACGGTTTAGGACACTGGCCTGACCCTTCACCCAACTTTCTGACAATTCATGTCACAATCAAGTGCCTCGGCATCCCCTGCATGGAGCACGTTAATGGGGCCGTGCGGTTCCCTCACATGTTCAACTCAGTGCTTCTGGCAGGAATTGTGAATTAACCAGCAACTAGGTAATGACACACAAGAGGACTCAATGTCCTAGGGAGAAAATGCTCTTTGTGAAAGCAGGGGGTGGGCACATAAAAGAATCATTAAAAGCCCAGTTTCCCAGACAGCTTCTCTGACCTGAAGTATAATACTAATGTTTTAAAAAAGTCTTGACTCCTTAGCTTATACCTCTCTGAAATGGCACAGCTTGCCAGACCGCATCTCATTCATCTTCACAATTCACTGTTCATATAATGCAAACATAGCGCTTCCGTCCGAGAAAAACAGGAAAAGACATAACACACTTAGCAAGAGTCCCATTTCTGAAGTCTGGCTCAGTTCTCCATCTCTTAAATCTACGTGATTTCCCAAACTCTCCCTGATAAGGTGCCCAGAACCCATCCGGGAACCAGGTATAGTGTCACTGCCTTCTGGAGTTGATACCTACTCTGCCTGACTCATGGAAAACAAGTCCAAACTGTGAAAGCCCTTGGGAGAAACAGGAAAGGGTGCTCCCTGCATTTAAGGTAATGAGGAGGTCTCCCCAAGCCAAATACCCACACTAGCTGAAGCCACATGGCTATTCTCCAGGCTTTCCTGTCTTCCCTTGGTCCGTGGCACTAGAATGCATTTGAATCAAATCGGACCAGAGTTGGCAGGGTCACCATGGAAAGCCACGGGTGTCACTCACCAGCCAGGGACACGAAGAGCACCACCACTGCAGACAGCTGCCAGGACATGACTGGGGAGCCAAGATAGCCGCTGCCTCACCAGGGGCCCGCTCTGCTCCCGCTCCACTGGTGCGCTCAGCACCCCTCGGTCTTCTGAGGAGCACGAGGTCAATTCCAGGGCAGGCTCCAGGAACAAAGAAGATACCTCTCTTCGCCCCTCATTCACTCGTGGCAGAGAAACCAACGTCACTTTCATTATGACGAGTAGCTGAAACGCCCTCCCAAGGGGTAGGCTGAGTGGGGAGGGAAACCAGAAACCAGAAGTGGCTCTTGTGTGAAAGCAGCCACATTCATCTCCGCCTTTAGTGTTTGTGAGGGGTGGGCAATTCCCCTCCCCCCTACTCTAGCCGACGGGAAGGGCATCTGAGACCATTTCTCCACAAGAGATGGAGGACCTGTGGTGGTGCCAGCTTCTTTGTTTGAGAAGCTGGGTCTCCATTTTTCTTTAAAATCTCGAGTACCTTTCTCCTCAGTCAGGAGAAAAGCAACCCGAGTCATGAAGGTGAGCAGGAGTCTGAAAACTCAGTGGCGAGAGCACTGTCTCGAAAAGTCTGAGGTAACCCTGCTTTATGCCCGTGGCCACCTCACCTTGTAGGGACCAGAAGGAGTCCAAGCTTAGGAGTCAGGGAGAGCTGGGTTTGAATCTGGTCACCAGTTGTATGACCTTGGGTAATGTCTCTGAGCCTCAGTTTCTTCTGTTGTATAACAGGGATGATATTGCCTACTCCCAGGTTGTTTACCTGGAACACAAAAAAATACTCAATATCCTGGAAAGGCAACCTTTCCATGTCCTATCTCCTTCCTCTACTAATCAGACCAAACAACGATGGTCTATCTCTTAGGACTGTGAGTCCCAGTGAGGAATACACATTTAGGAAGTGTATTAGGATACTCTCCTGATTACTAGGTTTAGGGCTTTCAGCTTGGTCTCAAAACAATTTCCTGAAAAACAACTTTGGCTACAGTGATTTGATCTTACTATGTTGCCCTAAACACTCTAATCAAGCAAATTTACCACAGTGAGTAGTGTAATTCCAAATTGGATTTTTATGGTGGAAGGTGAAGATTAATGTGTGTCAGTTGATCTAATTTTAGCAACTACCTGCCTAATATTCTGGACTTTGAGTCAATTTATTCTACAGACAATAATTAAGCAGATACCATATGCCAGACACTTTTCTTACTCCATTTAAGTCCTACAGCCACCCTATGTGGGCACTGTTATCATTGCTGTCTCATTTCACAGATGGGGAAACTGAGCACTGAGAGGTTAGGTGACCTGCCCAGTCACTTAGGTAATAAATGAAGAAAGTGGGTTGTGAATCCAGTTTGGCTTGAGAGTCTAGGATGTTAAGCACTATGCTGTACTACTGCTGAAGAGGTGTTCTAAACTAGAATATAATATAAACTTTCAAGTTGCTTGATGCCTAGATGAGAAACAATATTTATTAATATACAATAATAGCTAGACTGATCAATTGTTTGTTGCTTAGAACTACATTAATGAGGAAAGGTACAGTCAGAGATGACTTGGTGGTTGTTGGATCTTGGAGAGACTTTGAAGGTCATAGAGGATGTGGATCGTTGGAGAATAGCAATAATATTATTGTTATGATTATTATTATTGCTAATATTATTGTTATTTCCATATAAGGAATCTTTACTATGTGCCTGGCACCACTGTGTAATGCATATGGCACTCTTCAAGGTAGATTTTTTTTTTTTTTAAGTAGGCTGCAACGCGGGGCTTGAACTCACAACCCTAAGATCAAGACCTGAACTGAGATCAAGAGTCGGACACTTAACCAACTAAGCCGTCCAGGCGCCCCTCAAGGTAGATTTTTTAAATTCCAATTTTATTGATGTGGAAACTGAACCACCCAGCATCATACAATAGGCTAAGATTTGCATCATGGCCTACCTAGCCCTGAAGTCTGTGTCCTTTCTCCTAGCACACAGGGAGCAAAATCTCTTGACTGGTTATAGCCCTGACTGGAGAATATTGGAGAAAAAGCAGGGAATATGGTTGAAAGGTCAAGTTAGTGTCATTTTGGAAAGGCCAAAAAGCCAGACTGAGGAGTTCAGCCTCAACCCTAGAGGACACGGGGCCACTGAACATTTTGAAGGAAGTTGTACATGGAAGCAGGAGTTAACCTGACACAAAGTAAGGGCCCTGTGGTTTTCAGGGGAGAAGGCTTAACCATTGATCTAGTCAACATTTACTGGAGGATGTCTGAAACCAGTCTCCTGAGTAGGTCAGAGGATCAGAGTATTGGGGTTATCCGGATTCCTGCCTTTGACTAGAGAAGAGATGCCCCAGCTGAGTGTTTCAGAAGACACTGGAAACTCTAAGCACTGTGTCAGATGTACCCCATAAATTTGGGTATGTTATAATTTCATTTTAATTCATCCCAAATTATTTTCTAATTTCCATTGTGATTTCTTCTTTGACCCATTATCAGGGTTATTTAGGAGTTTGTTGTTTAATTTCCACACATTTGTAAATTTCCTTGTTATTGATTTCTAGTTTCATTCCATTAGGATTGGAGAACCTACTTATGATTTCAATTGCTTCGTATTTATTGAGGCAACAAGTTAATCTGTTATGGCCTAACATACAATCTATCCTGAAGAATGGTGTATGAGCATTTGAGACAAATGCATGTTCTGCTTCTGTTGAATTTGGAGCATTCTATAGTTGTTGGTTAGTTCTAGTTAGTCTGTAGTGTTCGAGACTATTTCCTGTTTGGTCTTTTGTCTAATTGTTTTATCCATTATTGAAAGTATGGTATTGAAAACTCCAATTGCTGTTGTTGTATTGTCTATTTCTCCCTTCAATTTTGTCAGTGTTTGCTTAATGTATTTTGGGGCTCTGTTGTTAGGCTTCTCTGTGTTAATGACTTTTATATATTCTTGATAGAATGACCCTTTTATAATTAGAAAATGTTCTTCTTTGTCTCTAGTAACAATTTTTGTTTTAAAATCTCTTTTGTCTAATATTACTATGGGTACTCCAGTTCTCATTTGGTTACTCTGTACATGGTATACTCTGTACATGGTATATCTTTTTCCACCTTTTTATTTTCAATCTATTTGTGTCCTTGAGTCTGAAGTGTGTCTTTGTAGATAGCATATAGTGGGATCATGTTTTTTTACTCATTCTGCCAGTACCTGCACTTTAATTGGTGTGTATAATCCATTTATATTTAATGTGATTACATTAAATGTAAGATTTATGCCTGTCATTTTGCTCTTTGTTTTCTTTTTAAAGATTTCACTTATTTATTTATTTATTTATTTGACAGAGAGAGAGAGAGTGAAAGAGAGAGCACGAGCAGGGGCAGCAGCAGAGGGAGAGGGAGAAGCAGGCTCCCCACTGAGCAGGGAATCCGATGCTGGGCTCGATCCCAGGACCCTAGGATCATGACCTGAGCTGAAGGCAGATGCTTAACTGACTGCGCCACCCAGGTGCCCCTGCTCTTTGTTTTCTATGTCTTTTTTTGTTCCTCCACTCCTTCATTATTGTCTTCTTATGGATTAAATAGATATTTTCTGGTGTACAATTGTAATTCCCTTGTCCTATTTACCATATTTTAAAAGTTACTTTCTTAGTAGTTGCCCTGAAGACTACTGTGAACATCTCAGCCTGTAGTATGAATACCACCTTAATTTCAATAGCATGTAAAAACTTTACTTCTATATAGCTCCACTGCCTGCCCCCCACACTTTTTGCTGTTATTGCCATATGAATTATTTCTTTATACACTGTACATCTGTCATCATGGGTTTATAATAACTGCTTTATGCAGTTGTCTTTTGCATCAGATGAAAGAATTGCAAACAATGGTATAAACTGAATGTTTGTGTTCCCCCCAAATTCGTATACTGAAGGCCTAATGTGATGGTATTTGGAGGTGGGGCCTTTGAGAAGTAATTATAGATCACAGTGGTGGGAACCTCCATGATAGGATTAGAGTCCTTATAAGAAGAGGAAGAAGGCTAGCCCTCTCACTGCTCTTTACCATGTGAAGACTGAACAAGAAGGCAGCTAGCTGTTTTTACAAGTCAGGAAGCAGGCCCTCACCAGAACCCAATCATGCTGGCTGCCTGATCTCAGACTCCCCAGCCTTCAAAACTGATCAATAAATCTGTTGTTTAAGCCATCCAGTCTATGGTAATTTGTTATAGCAGCCAGAGCTAAGACAAACAAAAAGTATATTTATTATGTCTTTTATATTTACCTACGGAGTTACATTTACTGGTACTTCCATCATGTGGTTTTGAGTTACTGTCTAGTAATCTTTCATTTCTGCCCAAAGGACTCCTTTTCCTATTTCTTGTAGGGCAGGTTTGCTAGTGATAAGTTATCTCATTTTTCATTTATCTGGAATGTCTTAATTTCTCCTTCGGGTTTGAAGAATAGTTTTGTGGATATAGAATTTTTAGTTGACAGACTTTTTCTTTTAGCACTTTAAATATATCATCTCACTACCTTATGGCCTCAGTGATTCCTGATGAGAAAACTATTAATCTTATTGAGGGTTGCATATGGTTTCAGATGTGGATGCAAGTTCATTGCTTTGCGTATAGAAAACTGGTTGTTCCAGCACCAATTATTGAAAAGATTATCCTTTTCTTCACTCTATTGCCTTTGTAGTTTTGTTGAATATTAGTTGTCCATATGTATCTGTTCCATTGATATGATTTTCTGTCTTTATGTCAAGATCAAATTGCCTTGATTTCTGTAGCTTTATGATAAACCTTGAAATCAGGTATTGTTAGCCCTCCGACTTTGGTTCTTCTTCAACATTCTTTTGCTTTCTCCCTTCCTGTTCCCTAATTATCTCTCTTATGCTTAAAATTAGCTAATAAAGAGTGAATCTAGACACTCTAGCCTTGGACCCTAATCAAAGCAGAGCCCCAGATTTGTGCTCTCTGCCTTTCTCTACCCATTACCTCCTTTTGTGGCTCTCAGATATGCCATGTACCCTCCAGGACTTGTGAGTAAT